TTTTTTTTTTTTTGGTGTTTGTGATGTTGAAAAAATAAAAACAATGTTGCAAAGTAAATGTTCTCATTTTTACAGTGTGAACATTTTGTTTCTTAGTTATGATTACAGCCCGAGTGGTTCTATCTTGCCTAAAATGGTTTTTGCCATGTTGTACGTTTGTAAGATGGAGCTAACACATGTGGGTATAATGTCCTCTTAAGAAATTCATGTTATTAGAATTGACTTTAAAACACAAATTTACTCAATACCAAACATGGATGATTTTCAGAAATAAATACTGGACAATTATTAAACATTCTTTTAATCTAAAAGCTACAAAAATTAATTTTCAAATTTGTTAATAAAGCATTTAGTACTATGTTTATTGATTTTTTTTTATAGGATTATTGCTAAATATTCATTAAATTACATTGTACATAATGTTTTTGGATTTTAAAAGTCTTATATATTTTTTTCTCAAGATCCCATATATGGCCATTAGTAATAGTAATGGCAGTTATTAAATAGGTAGTTATGGAAAATATTATTAAATTAACTTATTTGATTTGTTAAAATTGATAAATTATAATGAATTTATATAAAGTTCATAAATTAATGTTTTGGTAGTGGATAATCTCAAATTAATTTTTGTTTTAAGAAAAAAAATTATATGGCACTGTTGTATACATTATAATACTTCTCTCTTATCTCTCTTCATAGAATTAATATAACAATATTTTTCAGTTTGGGGTTGCCGTAGTAATAACCAATCAAGTAGTTGCTCAAGTGGATGGTGCTTCTATGTTTGCAGCAGATCCAAAAAAACCAGTTGGTGGTAATATAATGGCTCACGCATCTACTACTAGATTGTACTTGCGTAAAGGTAGAGGCGAAACAAGAATTTGCAAGATATATGATTCTCCTTGTTTACCAGAGTCTGAAGCTATGTTTGCTATTAATGCTGATGGAATTGGAGACGCAAAAGAGTAAATAAAATATAAACTAACATAATTTTTTTTTTTTATCTAATTTGTTCTTAAAAATACCAATTTAAAAATATTAATTTAAGACAATTATTTTTATTGTAGATTAAAAATTGTTAAAAATAATTTTTTAACATATTATGCTAACCTGAATAATACAATAATTGTATTAATTTTTTTTTCTTTATATTGACATGTTATTTTGTAGAATTATCTTTTATATTAAATATAATTTATCTTACACTTAAATATTATGGTAGTGTTATCTTATTTCAGCTATAAATCTAGTTTTTTCATTCAATTGTTGTATTACACTTTGTATAACTATTGTAAATATTTTATTAAATAAGTTTAAAAATTATATATTAAAAATATTGATCTGATATTTTAATACAAAAATTATTTTTTATTTAGACATCACAATATTATATCAAATACTATCTTATTTATGTTGTGCGCACTATTAAAATCTTGTATTTAGCACCTGTACTCTGTTCAAAATGAGATCATATTTTTGTTTCTTGTCCGTGACTGTTTGACACATTGTCAGATGCTTCTTCCTCCAAGTCTACAGTATAACCTGTGGTTTGGAAGAAAGCCGCACACACAAGTTGGCCGCCGGTGTACAATCTAATTTTGAACAGAATACATATTATACTTAAGAGTCCCACTGGCCTACTGGGA